AAAATCTACGAATAATTTAAAGTCCATGGGTAAAAGCCTTGAGCATGATATTTTGAAACTTAATCCGATTTTTTGACAGACAGACAGACAGTTAAGGTGTCAAAAAAAACCACAAATATGACAAATATCCATAAAAATGTTGTGTAGGATAAATAAATTGTTTATTATAAAAAAAAACATAAACCACAAAACTTTTGTGTCTTAAGTTGTCAGTCCCCCTTGATAATAAACAACTAAACTAAATCCTAAACACAAACAATCCAGATTATCTTAAGGTAGGATAAGTAGAAAGGATAACTATTGGACTCATTTCATGTCTACCTCATTGATTGTGTCATCTTGAATGATCCAGGATGGACTCATTTCATGTCTACCTTATCAATGCTGTCTTCTTATAAAATTTGACTTTGGTTGAATGGTTTCCCCTTGTTATTGATAAGATCTCTAGTCTAAAGTGCCTCTTAAATTATGTAACCAATGGATATACTATTTTTACATTGGTCTGATTACAGTGTAACACTCTTCTAATAATCTTAGCCATTTCATGTCTTTCAGTTTTACAGACGTAAGCTCATTTTGATTAAGAGCAGACTGTATATCAGTGTGTAAGGGTGTTGAAATCTTGAAGTCATTTATTTTGAAGTACTTATCCCCATTATCATGGCCACATGAAAGTCTGGTCTTCTTGAGTAAGTCATCTTTCCTCATTATTCCAGTCAACTCAGCTGTAAATTTATTTATTTTCTAATTTGCTAGTTATGTCCACCTCGTATCTTTTCTTAACAGTTCAGTCCCGTGTGTTGTTTTAATTTTCATTTCACTATTGATTTGATAAATTCAGAAACAATGTACTGTCTCATGTTTTCTTCTAGCTATAGTTTATAGTTGTTTGGGGAATTCAGGAAATGTAGATGTTTAATTATTTCTCAGAAAGTTGTGTTTATGTGGGAAACAGGAAGTTATAAATTTACTGTCATATTAAAGAGATACTACCACTTAAAATGGACATGATTTCAAATTTTATCAATAATATTTTGTTTGTAGACTTACCTGGTGTCATATCTATAAATCTAGGTGAAAACACTAATGAATATTAATTAAGGTACCTGTAGTTTTATGAATAATTAGTTGGTTTTATGGATTTATTGGATTATAGAGGGATTCTGTTGTATATTAATGACACCAGGTAAGTCTACTGATGAATATATATACTCTTATTGACCAATATTGAGAATCTAAATTAAGATAATATTCCTTTAGAGGGATTGTAAAGAGCTTTTTAAAAAAATGTTATGTGTATAGGGGACACTTGTATCATCCATTGTCACTGTAGTTCTTGTAATTTAACTTGGACTATGTTTCTTATGATGTCTCTATAGTAAAGGTTCTTATATATCAACAGCAACTTTTGCCATAGTGACCCCAGACACTGAATGAAAGTTAAGTGGTTACAAATTGATACTGTTAGTGTCACGAAATACATTAAAGTTAAGAAAATCTGTTACAACCCCTTTAAACCAAGAAATGTTTAATGAATGAAAGGAAATATGTGTAAATTGTGTGACAGCTTTACATTTTATCTATTTGTGGTTGTTTGTTGACTAGTTAAAGATTATCCTAGTATACAGTCTCCAGCAGGTTGGATCAATTGTCATCTTCCATGCAATTAGGTGTTTGGGGTTTGAATACTCATCTAGGTAAGAATAATTCTGATGCCATGGCTTATGAGAGTTTATCTGTTCAATAATCAACAAAATTAGGTAATTGCACTTGTGGCAGAGCCAAAGGGGCAGACACCCCTGCTCACAGACCTGAAAGCAAGGTTTTAAGGCAAAAATCTCAGGCAATCTCAGATATTTCGCCCCCTTCGACATAAACCTGGCTTTATATATACTTTTATAAGAGATACTCTCCTATATAGAAGCACTGGCCTAGGTCACAGGTAGAGACTGTGGATTTCAGCATGAGAATACATCCATTTGATAGGAAATTACCTACTTCAGGAGAGATTTTTAAGATAAACAAATAATTAAAAAATTCAAAGCGATTGCTTCAGGGAGTTAATGAAAGGGGATCTAATAACTGTGTATATTATGTTTTATCAGTTACTACATCAGAGTTAAATTGAACTGATATACTGATTCCAAATGTCAGAAATTATAGATAATTTAAAATATGAAACTATGATTTGAGGTCATGCTATAAAGTACAGTAGATATAATTGATTACTGAATGATTAGTAATAGTTTCAGTATGATAGAGAAATAAATATTGGTGTGGGATGAATATATCTTTGAGTAATCTGATTATTTTGTCTAAAGTCTATGTATCCTGTAATTTTTATAAAATTTGATTAGAATGTTTCAATGTTGTCATTAGTATCATAGGGGACAAAGAGATCAAAGGGATTTAAGAGTCTTTGTATACATGTATATTGTACACTACCAGATTATTCTATTCAAATTGAAATTATTTTTTGATTTAAGAACAATCAAATATGCTGAAATTGTGCTCTGAACGTATGGCACTATTACCTAGTGTGAACGAGGCTTAAAATTAGAATTAACCCATTATTGGCCAATTTTTTCATTGACAAACAAATTTGCAGAAATTGTGCTCTGACCCTATGGCTGCATTTGTCACTTATTGCAATATCCTATAACCTGTATGTTATAGCTAGTAAATTGTGAAGCTCATGTCCCTTAACTTCTAATAAATGGGACAATTGCAGCCCCGTCATTAGGGTGGGATCCATGGGTGCTGGGACCCAGTGAGTGGGAATTAAGCCCCAGCAAAACGTTCTTCAGTTTGGCAAAGATCGATTTATTGACAGTGTCTTTGTACAAAATCAAACAGATATATTTTGATACATTTTTTGGAAATGAGTTCTCTGGGCCTTTAATTCTTCAAATTTCTGGGTATGAAATCTGAGCCCAAGCACCAATTTCTTCCTGGCGACGCGGCTGATCAATAAAAGATGTTATTATCGTGATATGGATGTATTTTGTGGCAATATTATCTGGAGCTGATATTACGCAATCCCAGTGAGTGTAGTAGCCTATATTATAGACAGGAAGATAAAATAATATAATCACATTGTAAACAAAACTATTAACAGTTGAGCAATATCTAGTTATCACTGGAGTGATTAGTCAGTGGAATGTACCTGATAATACAACACACATCAGGAAATAGTACTTGATCCAGCAAAGGTAGGAGGAAGTTGTCTTATAAAGTAGCTCATATTTCACTGTTATTTTATAAGATATCAGCATTTTTATTATTCTAATGTATCAGGATATTTATTTGTGTTTAGAAAAAACAAAACAAGTATGTTGTTGATCAATATTTTTTGACATTTTCTTCTAATTTGATATCTCTGTGTCTGATCTGTACTTCAGAAGGATTTGACCATTCATTGGTTAGTGGAGTACTATTCTGTATTTAACCCATCTATCACTATGGCTACTGCACCAGCCAAAAATTTCGTCTGATGATGGTTGGAGGAGCTTACATGGAAAAAGGGTCTAGTTGTTCGAAAAGGAAACGTCAGATTCGGAACAATGGGCACCAATGTCATCAATTATCGCCATTGAGATAGCCACGGAATCGAGAATGTCTTTACACAATCGTTGTAACATCTCCATAAAGCCCATAGATTTTATTGGAAATGCACCCTGGGAATGCATTATAGCGGTATATATCACAGACTGATAGCGAATGTTGTAGAATTTTCTGATTTTAAGGGACTTTTTCTCTAAACAATATACTTTTAGTGTAACCAAGGTTTATGACAAAGAGTAGACTAATATTGAATATGGAATATCGTTCAAGTCTCATATACAAGACTTAATAATAACTTTTATTAATACTATAGCAACATATAGAGATTTTCATACACACAAATAACATATATTTATGGACTTGGAAATGTAGATTACAAAGATTTTCAAAGTGTGAATGAGGCTTAAATGTAAAATTAACCCATTATTAGCCAATAAATTAGGCAGGTGTTCAATGAAGTGATTTAATTGAGGGTTATTGTTTGTATATCAGAGTTATATTGTGGCAGTGTAATGTTTATATCCCTCACAGGATTAAAGGGAGATTTAAACCAGTGTAATGTTTATATCCCTGTCAGGATTAAAGAGAGATTTAAACAATCATATAAATATACCAACATGTACTATTTCTTTATATATCATGTAATTGTATTGTAAAGGTAAATGAATTGGAAATGGATGAGAATAATTTTTGGCTTGTTTCTGACACCACAGTTTATTGATGTAAGTGTATACAGCTTGTTTCTGAAACCATAGTCTTATACCTTGACTGCGATAACCACTATTTTTGTATCACAAAGGTTTTTAAATGCAGTGATTTGATTGGATTGTAAGCTAGCGAAGACAGTCAATGAGAGGATTCAACAGAAAGTCTGTAAACAATAAACCATAATGTTTACATTCATTTTGTCGATGGCTGGAATTGGCTGTATTCAGTTAAGGTATAAGATGAAACTTGTAATAGCTTGACATTGTGAAGATGTTGAACTGATGGTGTATGTGTTTTGAAATGAACAGGATATGCAAATATCTGTGCTGAACTAAAATTGAATGAAGTTGATTATATGTATTGAAAATGATATATGATGCGGACTAGAAATTGATTTTTAGATAGTAACTCAATATGTGTTTAAAGGCCATTCTATTTCTATTGTACGTGTGTCACAGATGGATGATGTTACATATAGAAATATCATGTTACTTTTATTTTTGTACCCAGGATTCTAAAGACAAATTCTTAGCTTAAATTATTTATATTTATATCAATTTCTTTCTGTCATTTTAGGTCAGGATATTACAGTGTGTTATTAAAGACTAACAGTGTTAATATTAGTGTTTAAAGTGTTTTAAAAAGTGTGAGAAACTATGCCTGAGAATCTTATGGCGACCGTACGACCCCATGACCCCGTTAACTTGGAAACCAGTATAGAAGATCTGATGTTGGAACCCTCATACTCTGACACTGTGACCCTTGAACCCTATCAACACCAGGTCGGAGGTCATTCAGTAGTTCTCCATTACGACAAAACAACAATTTGTAAGCCTTTGAATAAACGCGAGCAACATTTTTACGTAACGCTGCCTGAGGATTTGAAACAATTTACGGCCGAATATAGAGGTCAGTAGATTTAGATATTTTTTTATATTCCAGATTTTTAATTTATCCAATCAGCATTTGCTAAATCTGTTATTAAAGAGGAATTCTTAATTGTTTATATGAATCAGGAACACTGATCATGAGCATCATTTAAATTTCAGTAAGATGTCTGATCAAGTGAACATTTATTTTATTAAGAATTTCTCAATCACGTGACATTTTAGTGAACGCTAACGTTAGGTTTTAAATAAGCTGCATCATATTAAGTTGCTTCGCTCCCTTTATTCATAACCAGGAATATATTACAGAATATGGTTACGTAATATGTAAACTATTATCAAGTTTATGTTATGGAACGGTAGGTTTGACAATTGTTCTGCTAATGATATTTATCAGTACACAATATACATGTAGTACCATTCACTGTGTTTGTTTGACTGTTATTCTACACTAGATGGGAATTGATTGTCAATAGTTATATTGGGCCTGGCCCAGTTCACAGAACGCCATTGTAAACAGACGTTTTGATCCGGGCCAGGCTCTCTTTATCGGGGCCTAGTGTATTAGATTTTAAAATAAAGCGATGTTGCAATACTCCATGTCTAGTTGTATAATACTAAATACAAAGGGTTATTTCCATTTGATATCATGATGAAATTACAACAATATATTTGTCTAATATACCTCTGTCTGAGGATTATAATGTGATGTCACAATATCTTCTTAAAGCAGATATTATAGGAGGTATTCACAAACATAACCACGAATAAATAATTTATGTCTCTGTCTAAATGATAAAGGTGGAGGGGCCTAGAAATGTCAAGGGGGGCTGATAGCACCAAGCATTAAAGAACTTATGAAATTGGAAACTTGGGAGGCAAAGCTGGGCCTTGGATTTGAAGATTGCATTGCATTCTATCAGCAGATATCAATATTTCCAAAAATCTAGACTGTTTTTATCTAAAAAAAAACCCCAATAAAATGAAATATAGATACCCAGATTTTATCACACCCCTATTATATGATTTCTATTGATAAGGTTGTGTCCCTGTGACATATTTCAATGTTGCAATATTTATCTTTGACGATGTTATCAGATTAGCAGACTTTAATATAAATTAAGATAAAATTCCATTTGGACTATTGATTTGGTTCCAGCAAGGCAAGGGCAACTGTAACATCTTATAATCACAAGCAATGACCACACTTCAAGTATATATTTCAATTGAACATCAAGTGTCATTGTGTTCTTAATAATAAGCATTAATGTATATATAGTTTGCCCATCACTTCTTCTCATTATGTGCTTGAGGACGACGGGGGAAACACGTCGAAATGTTGCATAAAACTTTAACCATTGATTGTTGTTCCATAAAGCTGTGTCTATATATCTTACTCACAATTGCTAAATACCATTGAAAGACTTTAAGTGTCATTGATGATGATAGAAATTTGAAAATTGTTTTGTGAATGCTAAATATTCACAGTATTTTTGATGAATTAACTGAATCAACTTTAGAATAAGTAGAAAGTAAAATGTGCACAAAATTAAAAAAAACTAGGTGTACTTAAATGAGATGACAGGTTGTTGCTATCTGTTATCTACAAATTGATTTATTACATGTCATTATTGTAAAAGTTTGTTATGAATCAAGATTATTAATTTCAGTTTTTATCAGCTAGTCGTTTACGTATCTTACGAAATCTAAATAAATTACGTTTTAGTTTTTTGATTATGTAGGACACCAATAGATCATTGTCTCTGACAGTGGATCATCTTCACCATGTTTTAGGTACTGCTTCTTATACCTTGACAACATTAGGCACTTTCTTGTATCATATCGATGTATAAAAGCATTGATTTGATTGGATTGTATGTTGCTGATTCAGTCAATCATAGCCTTAGAGAGAAAGACTTAACTGCATGTTTTATTGAGGACTTTGATTTGATACTGTACAATCAAACCTCTGTTGTTATTTTCAAACTTCCATGATACAAGAAAAGTGCCTAATGATGTCAAGGTATTAGACAAAGTTGGTAATGTCTTGACATTGTGAAGATGAGAGCACTTGTGAACTACTTTGTGTCAGATGTTATTCTTTAACCTTTTAGCTTCAAACTCTTTCTATTAGTACAAGGATGCAGAACACTGAGTTGTAAAATTCCATTGCATTTTGTTGAACAAATAAGGTACCATAGAGTACATTTTATTTTGAAGTAATTTAGGAAAGTGCAGTATTACACACACTCCATTTCCTTTGTTAATCCAAAAAGACACAGGGCCCCTGTTCCACTCAAAACCTTACGATAAGAATTTGTCATAAGAGCAGAATTTAGCTTTGAAAAATACCATATTTATAACAAAAGTTGTGATCATAAGATTTTTTTGTAGAGCTTGGCTCAGAAGAGTAGGATGTAAAATCCCATTTCATTTTATCGAAGTAGATGTAACACTTAATCTAATTTGATTAAATTATTTTTATAATTAGTCCAATAAGATAGAAATAAGTAGGACACAAAGGTCCATTTTATTCTATTTCTGAATACGAAAACATCGAAATGGTCAGTAGAGGGAATTGCTAAAAATTATTTTCTATTCATCTTCTGTAGAGATTGTTATGTACAACGCTATTTATTATTAGCTATGATTTGTCAAGGGAAATAAAACTTTACTGGCTCCCTTTTGGTTTCCGTTCTTTCAAGTTATTCTCCTTTCATTCAATTCCACTCCACTAGACATAACAATATAACTTAATACATCCCCAGTTGAAATCAATAAAATAGGCATTTTGAAAGGTGTTTTTTTGGTCTAAAAGATGAATTGATGATAAAGTTGATTGATTATTTTGAGTTAGAAATTCAACATCGTTTAGCTCAAATTTAAGTTCATTAATTAATTAAACAGCTTTTGAGTCATATTCTGGAGAGGATTAGAGAGATGGGGTTAGGTGGGGGTGGGGTTGTGTGAGGGGGGGAGGGGGGTGTTAGTGGGACACCACAAACACAATGATAGTGATGAAGGCATGATGATGCCAAAATGCTTCCACCACTTTTAATTTTTCATTGTCTGAGCCATTCTTTGTATTTATACAATCTAGACCCAAGACATCATATTATACAGCTGTGTTCTGTGTTGACTAACTCTATATTGATATTATTTCAGGTGTGATAGATGTCAAACTAGCAGAGAATGACCACGGTTTATTATCATTCCTGGGATTCCGACGAAATATTAAAAATGAAAGTTTATTAGACCCTCTGAGTGGTTCCTCATCACCGGCTTCCAGTGGGAGTGAGAACGAACTCTCTTCTGATACCTCCCCTCAAAAATACAGCAAACAGAAACAAAGGTATGGTATTATTCTCAAGCAAAGAAACAGATACACATCTGGGTACATACCATTAAAAACAAAAACACATTTATGAAAAAAACATTGTATTAAGAGATTGTAAAGAGGTTTTCTAAAATTTGTACGTGTATCAAGGACACTGATAGCATCAATTTGCACCATTCCAATTTTCAATCAGATGTCTCTAGTTCCTGCAACTCCACTAAAACTTCTAAGGTTTTGTGATTGATAATGAACACAATATCAGTATAGTATAGGTATAGTTTCAGTTACAATCTATTCTACCTAAAAATAAAGAAACAACTATTTTTTTTACAGTGATAGCAAGTTAAGCTCCTTAGACTCTTTCAGCTGTCCTTGGCTTTATGTCTTAACATCTTGGTATTGATTTATCAGTGCCCACTTACAACTGGGTTGAAGACAAAGACAATACTGTCAATATATTTTAGAAATAAATTCTTTATCTTTTCAGAACCAAGATAAGTTTTAAGCATAGGGGTAGTTTAGAGATTAGTTGTCATGCCGACCAAGGATTTGAATCAGCAGAAACTGGTAAATTATGTAGTCACAGTGCCTGGGGACTTCGTTGCCATAAAATGTTGGTTTCAAAATGGCGGAAACAAGGACAGACCATTTCTAGTATCCTTTTGATACACAGTTGTCAAATAAAACCACAATATTGTCAATCTGAAATGCCTGGTTTGTGAAAGACTCTTAGGTGTTGTTTTTTTTATAAATCTACTCAATTATTTTAAGGAGGTTTTCAAAACCGTCTAATTGTTGCAGGACCCTTTGTGACTTTGGGTTGAGACAAATGGCCATTTTGAACTCTTAGAATGTTCAGATTGATATGATGATAATGCCTTTTTATTTCAAAGTAGACTTAAAAGATATTGAAGTCAATTTGCCAAAATCCTGTTTTAACATCAAAACATCGAAATATTTTCTTTATTCTATAAAATTATGAATTGATAAAGTAATATTACTGAGATTGAAAGGAGTAGGTCAATAATTGAAAGTATTTCTCTGGAATCCAGTCAAAACCTCTTATCTTTGTCTGGTTTAGATACACTTCTGATGAAGAAAGATTATGCCAACTTCAAAATAAGAAAAATTTCTTTAAAAAAACCTTGAACACAGATTTATAAAAATTGTTAAACATTAGTTAATCATTCGGGAAAAATGTTTAGTTTTAAGTCTTTATATATTGATATACTAGGAACAAAATAATTAAACTACCTTAACTGTTGATTAGAATTTATCCTGTTAGAGAATGTAGCTAGTCATTTTAAACAACCCTGTGTGTTAGATTTAAAGATGGGCACAAGACAACATGGTGATGATGCTTCAGAGAAGAAACAGAGGGAACATACAGCTAAATGTTTATCATCAACATCCAGTAAACTAGGTGTTAGAGTGTGTGGCATGCAGGTGGGAATAAATTTATAAGCAGTTATTGTTCCATATGCATATTACTTAAAGGATTTTAGCCTTGAATATATGTAAATAGTATCAAGAAGTACTAGTAATCATGAAAAACACATAATCCTTTCAAAAATATCTCAAACTAGGATTTCTTTTCCTATGACTATAGATGTCTTTTCTTGACAGTGTCTCAAGAAATGACAAGCCTTTTTTAAAACTTTCAGGTAATTCTGGACACCCATTGATTTGGAGGCTCAAATTATGACGGTGAGCTGTGAACACTATTACTGATTGGCTTCACTACAAAATTCTGAGATTAAGTAATGATTGGAAAAAAAAATTGGCGCTCTATCCCTATAATGATGAAATTTTTCTTAATTTAAATATTTTGTATTCAAGGTTTATCAAGTAGATACAGAAACCTATATCAGTCAAGATAAGTATTTTGGACGATCTCTCGATGTTGACGGATTCCACGACTCTATACAACAATTCCTTCATAATGGACATCGTGTGCGATTAGATCTTATACAAGATATTATAGCAAAATTAACCAAACTTAAAAAGGTGTTAAAAGACCAGGATTCGTTCCGATTTTATTCATGTTCGTTATTAATAATGTATGATGGGATTGAATCAGGAACGAAAATTTTCAACAATAACTCAGGAACTTATTTCAATTCGGCACAAAGTGCTCAACAGAATGATTATAGTGATAACAATTTTAAAAGTGAAATTCCAGTGTTACAAAATACCAGTGATACAAACCATGTGTCTAATGGACAAAATGGCGTGACTGTTTTAAGTAGTAAAGCTAATATTTCTAGCAACACCAGTGAAAAATATAAAACTCATGGACATTCAACAAATGGACTTGATGATGTTTCTTCTCTAAGTGATGATATAAATGGACTTGACGATGTTTCTAATAGACCCAGTGATATATCTAATGTATTATCCTATTCAAACCAACTGGATAATGTTTCGAATGAACTTGTTGATGATTCTACAGATCACAAGCAGTCTCAATCATCCAATGGTTCTGTTGTTGTAAAAATAATAGATTTTGCTCACACGACACATCGTGGCTTTAAAGATGATGAGAAACATTACGAAGGACCTGATAAAGGGTTTATATTGGGATTAGGAAACCTTATTAAAGCCTTTCACTCAGTGGAGGAGAAATGTTTAAGATGATGTTGGAATAGAAAGGATCAGTTTTAGTCTGGAGCTTTATTCTCCAAACCTTAACTTAAATATGATTGACCAATCAGATGACTGGAATACTAAAATCATTCTAAGTTAAGTTTTCAAGAATAAGGCACCTGTTTTACTATCATGTTTACTATGGCAGTCCAGTTTAAAAGAGATTGTAAAGCGGTTTTCTATATTTTGTATGTGTATTGGGGACAATGGTTTCTGCAATTTAACTAAAACTAAATGTTTTGTGACATAGCTATTGCAAAGCCCTTGAATATTATTAGCAGCTTTTGCAATAGTGGCATATGTATAATTACAGGAACCACAAACATCAGAAAATTGATATGATTCAAATAGAAAGCATTATGGTACCTTGTACTCAAAAAAAAGGGTAGAAAACCTCTTTCTAACCTCTTTAAAATGAGCAGATTTCACCAGTGATTTATTGAGGCTCTGAAATGGCTGGCTGTGATATTTGATTTTTAATTTCTTCAACTTTCCACAAATTTGCAATTTTATAGGATATATTCTTTTACTTGTTTGTTTTGTCATAAACTTTGTTCCTCTTACTGTATAGTTTTCTTAAATGGAACTCTGACTCTGGTTTTTGGGTCATAATTTGTGAAAAAAAATTAAAGAATTTTACTAAAAATTTGAAGTACCAGTATTCAAATGTGATAATTTAATAACTATTTTTGTACTGGTTATGTTGTGAATATGTTACTCTATATTGAAGAGTTCTGAACAGGTTCCGTCTGCTCTGAAAATGGCCCCAATCGAACAGATGTTACCAAATTATGTCACATTAAAAATTTACCCTTCTATTCTTTTCTCTGCCATTTTGAATTCTGTCTGCACTAGTCTCTGCACGTACTTTTAATTTGGGACAAGTGGACTCGTTCTGAATTCCCTTCCGTTTTTTTTTAACGTCCAGTTGATTTCATAAATTCCGAACATGCAGAACTCTCTAATCGAGATGCCCTAATTTGTTTTTGACGAGCAATATGCTGTGATATATGTTGGATTGTTTATGATTTGTTATCTTATTATTATGTTATGATAAAACTGTATATGATTCAACGGACTACAAAAGTCATCTTAATTTTAACCTGATTGGTTTTAAAGGGATTGTATTAAAGAGATTTTCTAAATTTCCATGTGTATCAGGAACAATGATAGCATCAATTTGCACCATTCCAATTTACAATCAGACCTCTGTGGATTCTGCAATTCCACTACTACTAGGTGTTTGATGACAACACTAATTGGTGCAAATTGATTCTATCTGTTCCTGATACACATAATAAATTTAGAAAACCTCTGTACAATCACTTTAAGTTGTTTTAATGAAATATTAAGCACAATTTTATATCTTGCACAACTTTTGTTTTGTTTTCAACTTGCCGCAGCAGAGATAATCTGCTTTATAATTTGCCTGGTAACTGGCCTGTTTCATTCAAGTGATTAGAAAACAATAAATAGGTCATCTACTTTCCAAACAGTAGACTAAACAACCCAGTGTTAAATATCCAATAACTGGCAATATATCAAAGTTTGATGAGACCCACAGTTAACAGGCTAATATTTAATCAGAGTATTTAGAATTCGTATTTATGGGTAGCCTTTTTTCTTGTCTACATTCCAAACATTATTTAAGAGAAGTACAAAAGAATGACGTCACTCCTGAGCAGTTAGTCAGTTGGCTTCCTTTACTTATTTGCTGTAGGAAAATCAACCGCCATTTTTATGTTGGATTTATGTTGGACCTATTTCAGCCTGCGTGCTCTGACAACAATGATATAATTGGAAATATAGAATTATTAAAACAGAACCTCAAACATGTTGTTACTCAGAGTGTCTCGCTGTGGGATCTTCAAACAACTGACCTATTTCAGCCTGCGTCCAAGTTAAAGGGACAGGTAGGCCATTTTTTTGACCAAACATACTTAAATCTCAGAAACTGGATCTTCTAACAACTGACCTATTTCAGCCTGCGTCCAAGTTAACAACATGTTACGGTTCTACTTAAATATATCTCTACAAAAATTATTCATTGTTACGAGTATAATCAAGGAAAGATAATCCAGGTCTCATTAAAAACAAGGAGTCCATTATATTTAAAGGTAGAAGAAATAGTAACAGACTTTATTTACATTGTATTAGGGGAGTTAAAGCTGAGACAGGGCCGATTCTAGGAAGCACAGGCACAGGCATCAGAACAGTTCTTACGATTCGAACTCACGGCACCTAATGGCCTAGCTTTATTTATTTACATTAATAACTACTTACATTTCCTAAAACTAACCTGGACTCATCGTGTTTATGTTTAAAATCAATCCTGAATGTCCTGGAAAATTTTATGGCCCAGCTGGGCCCCCTCCTGGTTTACAAAAAACGCCACAGAAGCTTTTCTGTCAATGAATAGGCGTTTTTGTGGGCCGATTCGATCAGGTAGTACGATTTGGTTTAGATTAGCAGTGGTCCACAAATGCAAAATTCAAATTTGGCAAAAAGAAAAAAGATTTGGCAATATGGCTGCCTCCGCTGACAACCAATGAAAGACCGTTATTTTGATTACATTAGCAACTTCCAAATGTCGCCATCTCGGAAAAGCCTAAGCCTCCTCGGACGGTTAGGATGATTAGTCAAATCAGTTTAGGTAAACTGGCTCACAAATGTACCGATTAGCCTAATCGTCCTGGCTCACAAACGCACAAAATAGCTAATCTACCTAATCGCATCGGCCCACAAAAACGCCTTTTATCTTCAACAGAGAGCCACCCAATGAAAAATAAGCCAGAGTTGACTCAAGTTAAGTTTTTGTGAAATTGGCCACTGATAATGCCAGTAATTTGTGTTTTAAATATATATATATATCTATCTTGATGGCCTTACTAATTGTAATATACTATTTTCTATATCTGTTTTGTTGATGTTTTTAATATGATTATAAATTATATATTTAACTGCTGTTCTGTTTTAGTTTTGGGTTTGTTTGAGAAATAGGGGAGGGAGAGTGTATTGGGAGTTAAAATATCCTAACAATTGACTCCCATGATTGGGCTGGATTTTGTCCTTTCACTGATGGTCTTTGAGCTCCACTGCAAGAGCAGTGTAGTGGGTGTTGTCATTGAGTCATCTGTGGCTTGGGTTAGCAAGCAAGTGTCTAACTCACTGAGCCACCATGGCTCCCATTTTTATAATTACAATCATTACATGAAGTGAAGGTAAATTTAGAGGAAAACAATTATATTTACATACAGAGAGTAAGTACAGTACAAAATGATCACAATAATATACAATAACAACAATGGTACCAAGATATCTATGTCCAAAACTATTTACCTTGATTTATATTAAGTTTTTATAAAATTATTTTGATTATATAGTTTTAATAACCAATTATATTGTCAAACAAAGATTTTGTGTCAACCCAGTACGATTCAAATCATAAATACAAAAGGTCTACTATATCTTTAGGTAGTTTTAAGTACTTAAATGTAAGGGCACACGAGCAGCCTTGGTCGGACATTTTTGTCGCAGACTAGAGTCTTGTCAGGAGATTTGCGGAATGGCACGGGCAAACGCGGAGACCTAAATCTCCAGTCGGTCGTTTTCCACCATGTTGATAATCATCTGCTGAGCATGCAATTGAAAGGAAAATGAATCTGATGGGATAATGACAGTCTGTCTTGCAGATGATAAAACAATCAGAGACAATTATCAAACTTGTTTTATATTATAAATCTTGTCAGCATCATGATAATCTTGTCATGGAAGCATGGGCACATTCGAGATTTTACTAATTTTAATCGGTGACAAATATCTACGACCAAATACCCGCACCTTAAGTAGACAGAGTTTCGAATCACTGTTTTTTTTGTGCCTGAAACTGAATATGAGTAGGTTTTAAATCGTACCCGATGTTCACAAATACCTTTGCTTGACTTGATCAAAAATCCAAAAGGACACTGAGAGTGCAAGAATTTCTTATTATTTCCATACACAGGCCTTTCTTAATATTAATAGACATAGTCTGCAAAATCCCAATTGCCTGTCAATGTCAACCTCAATCATACATGACTGGCTGAAATATGGAATAAGGAGCTTTATCATCCATTGATGCTGTAAACATACGAGGTTGAAACAACACGAGGTCGACGGGAAGGTGATGAGGAGACAGAAGTTGATTGGTTAGAATTGGTCTGTGATGTGTTACTTCCTTCAGTAGCTGGTATACCTACTTCTTGACTAGAGAAAATAAAAGTAGAAATCTATGTTCTATTTCTATTTCGATACAATATATAATATAAAACCAAAGAGGTAAATATCGCCAATTAAAAACCTAAACATCAAAAGATATTAATATTATATGGTTGTTATAACAACATTTTGGACAAATATTACAAATCTGTTTCTTGCATCTTTGCTGTTTTATTTTTGGCATAAATTGATCTGGTTGTATTTCATGATTTTGACATATAGTATTGGCAGGTATCATGTGCCAAGCAGATCATGCTTATTCTTTACGAAACACCTGATATTACTTCTCTTTCATGAGTTCACTACTAATCAACAAGTAGGTGTTGGTTCTATAAACAAGATATTCAGATACACTGATGGCTACAATTAAAAAATACACAAAGGACCACTAAAATAAAATGGAAAAAAAAAAGAGAAAGACACACAACAGATTGCTAAAAAACATTGAAGCCAAAACAAAATGGACTGAAAATAGAAGACACACTGATAGATTGCTCAATACATGAAACAGTGAAACTGAAACAGAATGGAATCGTTCTCAAGCAGGGGACAGTTATTAACATGTACAATTGGGTACATTTGGGTACATTTCGATACTTCAATTTGTACCCAGAGCACAAATCAGTCTCCTGAAGGAGAACGACTCTCCAAAACACTGCCACAACATCGATTAGTCTCACCCTTTTTCGAATGTTGTGATGTTGTATTTTTCGATGATTTTCCATCTCGACATTTTTTAGGGGAGCAAGGACATGCCGAGAGTATAGTACTGCAACCAAATAAAAATTAAACATAAATTATTAAGTCATGCTGCTAATTAGCTTTTTCAGAAATTGGTTAAATATTTGAGCAAAAATATTAAAATTATCTTTAAGCCAGTATATGTATATTCACTGAAGCCTGGACGTCACACGTTAAAATAAAGAAGAGAAATATGTCCAATGTCAGACGGCTTAAAAGACAAGAAACACCAAGTAAAGATTAAGAGGGAGAGCTTTGTTAGTAACTTCATTGATTTGTCGTATGCTACTGGCTCCGTGTGGGACAACCTCTGTGATTGGCTGTATTCACTGGAGTACAATCCAATCAAATTGCTGCATTCCATGATACAAGAAGGGTGGCTACTGCAGTCAAGACAAAGTTTGTAATAGCTTGACATTGTGAAAATGGCAGGAGTCATGATCCTAAGTTTGACTCCATATAACACAAGACCCCTTTTTCGGTTATGTTTTAGGTGAAAAAGCACTTGACGACAACTAAAACCACAACAACTATCTTACTCTGGAAGTTGTTCATGTCCACTCTGACCTAATGAACTGTCTGTGCTGTCAATCAATGGTGTTGTCGTTGAAACAGGCGATGACATCAGAGTTGTATCAGAATGTTTTGGAGAGTACATCCCAGTTCCACCTGGCTTTCTAGGGAAGTTAAAGGATACAAAGATGGCGTATTCGAGCAACTACTGAAATTTCAACGAAGTTGGTGCAGCCTTATTGAAACACCTTCAAGACAAATACCATTAAAATCCACTACCAATTAGACTCCTGGTGCTATGTTTAATATCTTTAGATCCCTACTTAAGTAGCTTTATTCAGATTTAAAGCAAAAACAAAAGAAATGAAAATTTGGTCTAAATCACCGACTTGTTGCCAGAATTTTTGTAACTTATAATTACAAAATCTAACCTACTTCTAGACAGGTGATTGGTCAATATTAAAAGGATTGTTGAGGTTTTCTCACCCTTTTTGACCAATCATGAATATTAATTAGAAATAATTATTCTTTACCTTCTATTTTCTTCATAATCTATCTGCTGTTTCATAAACATGGCGTTCTTCAGTAAATCCTGAATATTGTGAAAATGGGTGGCGCTACCATTCATAGTTTTAACAGCACTGTAAAACAGAAATCATGTAAACTAAAAGACAAGGTATGGTACAGACACCTGATATCACTTTTCATTATGAAATACTTACTCACTTATAATTGATATACTTCCTCAAGTGAAAAGTTCATTAGCTGCTACCAATATCTTGCAAAAATGTTATTTTGTATTTCCGGTTTCGTTTTGCAGTTCAGATTCTTAGTACTTGGTTTATTTATATTCAACACTTATGTATTCGCTTGTTCTATTTTCAGCAGTATCAATAATTCTGCACTGAGTAAGAATAAGAAGCGAATTATCGTATACAGTGTAGGATTATCATAACAGTAGAAAATAGAGCACAAATCAGGTAAACATTTTGATGTTTGATGAGATAAATCTTCACAGTGAGATTGTGTTTGATGTATGTTCTGTGACTACACTTTGTCTTAAAGGGGCACGTTTGCCATTCACATTTTTTTTTGACACAAAATTATGATTATAAAGATTTATCTCATCAGGGAGCTTTGAAATAACGAACAGTAAAATAACCTACTTGGTAGCATACTCAGCATCAAACCCAGCACCTTGAACTTTTTTATGGATATCTTGAACCTCGTGCTGTAATGAAAAAAATAGTAAAATTCTAGATGATAATGAAATGTCTTTTCTTACTCAAGCCTACAATAAGTTACACAATATAGAAGAGAGAAACAAACAACCATCTTTTTAAAAGGCTAATAACTAAGGTTCACAAAGATGCTTTCTACCAGCTGATCCTTGGTTAAATCTCTTGTTGATCTTTGCCTGTACCTTTATACAGCTGAATTGACTGAAAAAATGACGCAAGCCAACTTAAGATCAACGTTTGTAGTTTGATTATATCCAGAAGTCATAACAACCATTTGTTTGCTTAAATCAAACATATGATGTCAAGATTTCAACACTATAACTAACTGAGCTACAATATTCTACAAACCTTTTGATCGACAAGCTGTGGTAATGTTTTACGAACATGTTCCTGGATCCTGAAAAATGCCAGTGAGGCATCATTAGCTATAATATTCAGATTTTCTGATACTTTCTCAGCAACTGAAAACAAAATCAAAATTGTTAGTTTTATTAAACCATTTTATTGTGATTTCTATAAATAAAATAGAATTTAAAACTCCATTCATTTCATTTCAATACCAATCATTTTTTATAAATATAACAGGAAATGAAATGAATGGAGTTTTATGTCCAACTTTTCTGCACCGTGTGGATTTGTTATTGTTATGAAGAAATAAGAAACGAATCATGAAAAGCTCATCACATGATAAGTAACTCAGTTTATTCCCATACAATGTTAAAGTGACAGATTCGAAATATTTTGGGGTTGATTTGGGGGTTATATATGTAAATAGTCTTCAGAAGTATGGTTCCGTACTAGAAATACTCCCATTTTTGAGACTAAGGTACAATTAGTCAAACGAATACAGAACCTGTCCCTTTAACAAGATTCATATTCATTATCTATCTTATATTTTTGCAAAGATAAATAAACACATGTAAACAACAATAGACTCAAGTAAGTCATACCTTTATGAGTTTTATCATTAAGTTCCGGATCCACAAAATCATCGAATATTTTACTGGAACTTGTTGCTGCTGTCATCCGACCATATCTTCCATCTACTCCGCCTATAACAAAGGAAAAGAGTTTTAAACCCCAGTTTTCTGCCCCTGATATGACTATTGATGATTTAAGATGGCACCATAATAGGGTAAAGTGCACCTTATTCATCACCCATCATCCTTCATAGCTTATACTAGGTTATACTAGGTTATATGCATATGTAAATAAATATAAATATATATAGGCCTAAAAAAAAATGTCAGAAGAAAGGTTTTAACATTTTCTCTTGTCATACGTATATATTTCGCCATCTGTATATTCAGGATATCACAAGGAGGCTTGGTTGGAAGTTTGGAAATTTGAGACACCAATTATTTTCTTTTTATGATGTCCAATCGATTTCGTCTCAATTACGATTATGAATAACAAACCTTGCATTTTGTTTTGGTGATGAAACCACAAATAATTCATACCATTTTCCATTTGACTTACTAATCTAATAGATTTCGTACATTTTAGATATTTTCGAGAATATCGACCTGTCAATTTTGTCAACAAAGAAAAGACAACTCTTGACTGATTCAATAATTTCAGACCACAGCAAACTCCCACCTGAGTCTTACAATCATTTGTCTTGCCATCGTGCGCAAGTGTGCTTAAAATTTATGATTATGTAGTTCTGCCTTAAGGCCCCTTGACAGATCTGTGGCCCCTACACTACATCTAAACTATTGTATGACTCTGGTCTTGGATTTCATTAGTTTGATCATCTGATTGGTCATTTGAAAAAAATTGAGGTTTAATTTTTGAAGAATCTGGGACTGTAACAATTGGATGACAAATTGACAAACCCAGGGTGAGTTCTGCAGGCAAGGGATCTATGGAATCAACAGAACTTTCAACAAAACAAGTTGAAACCGAGTTCAGAAGGCATTGCATGTGTCCTGAAAAACAGCAGGTGCAGACAGACTTCAAAATAGCAGAGTACGCAATAGATGGTAAAATTTTAATGTGACATATCCGCTTTCATACCCATCGATTGGGGGCAGAATTGGGACCTCCAATCAAGCGCCACCCCAGTAACAGTCTTGCATCAAGGCCATGTAAATAGTGCCAGGGGCAGATCAGGAGCAGGACTAAAATTATAACAAAACAAGTTCTAAAAATTTCAGATTTTTTTTTGTTTTTTTTTCCAATTTATCACAATATGAAGAAATATTCTCGATTGTCTCTATAAATTAAATCTTCCTGCTTCTTTTAACACAATAACAATTATATATTTCCTGAAATATACAACATACAAATTATTAACTCCCTTGTTATATCATTATTTATTAACTCCCTTGTTATATTATTATTTATTTACTCCCTTGTTATATCATCATTTATTAACTTCCTTGTTATATCAATATTTATTAACTCCCTTGTTATATCATTATTTATTAACTCCCTTGCTATATCATTATTTATTAACTCCCTTGTTATATCATTATTTATTAACTCCCTTGCTATATCATTATTTATTAACTCCCTTGTTATATCATTACTTATTAACTCCCTTGCTATATCATTATTTATTAACTCCCTTGTTATATCATTATTTATTAACTCCCTTGTTATATCATTATTTATTAACTCCCTTGTTATATCATTATTAATTAACTCCCTTGATATATCATTATTTATTAACTCCCTTGCTATATCATTATTTATTAACTCCCTTGCTATATCATTATTTATTAACTCCCTTGTTATATCATTATTTATTAACTCCCTTGTTATATCATTATTTATTAACTCCCTTGCTATATTATTATTTATTAACTCCCTTGTTATATCATTATTTATTAACTCCCTTGCTATATCATTATTTATTAACTCCCTTGTTATATCATTATTTATTAACTCCCTTGATATATCATTACAGATATCTACATTTTTTATGTGTATCAGGGACACAGGGAATTTACATCATTCCAATTTTCAATCAGACGTCTGTGGTTCCTGCAAATTCCACATAACTAAGTGTATGATGATGTCACTAAACAGGCTGTGCCTTATGTGATAAAGAAAATTTTGTGATTAATGACGTCATCAAAAACTTTATTTTGACAATTTATCATATAGATGGCACCTGTGTCCCTTTAAAGAGTAACCAGGAAGTCTTCATGTTTTAACCTGATAGGTCATAAATATCCTTGCATCACAAAACTCACCTAAGTTAGCCATTGTTTATTTTTTATACATGTCAAAAACATCTACAACTTCCTTTTCTGGTTTTTCATATCCCATTTCTTCTAAACTAGAGATTCCTAGTTCTTGCATGGCTGGGGTAATTTCTTGCTGGATGTATGCCCATAAATTCTTATCGAACCCCTGGGCTTTGTGCTGTAAATAAAAGAAAATTCAAATCATTCTTTATCATCACTAGATCATACAACTCAGTTGAAAACTATAGAAATATCTTAAACATTTGAATTTTGTGTCATTACTTCATTAGCGTGATTAATTGTATTTTTACCTGAAGTTTTTTTTATTCTCAACTCCATGGTTGACGCAAAGTTCTAATGATGGCTAGATCGTTTTCTGAGAATTAGATTTAACATGATAGAAAACCGAAATGTTAAAACAGAACCTAAAAAAACATGTTGTTGTTACACAGTTTCATGCTATGTGATCTTCAGACAACTGACCTATTTTCAGTCTGCGTCTCTACTGAAGTTGCACATGTAAAACTTATTCTCATGTCTATACTTTGACTTTGAGACGAGTTCCGAATATTCGAAATTTGTATTTTTAATGACTATGAGATGACAGAAAAATGTCAATAAGGAAATCCTTGCAGTTGGAGATGAAATCCCCGCAGGTGGAGGTGAAATCCCCGCAGGTGGAGGTGAGTGAAATACATACGTGGATATTTTCAATGAATCTGATAGCTAGGGCATAATCATTCAGTCTTCTACAAGCAACCAGTCCTGCTACCATGACTTTAGGGTCTGGTATGGAGTCATATCCCTGAAACAATAACAATCAATATATCACAGACATCTTGAAATATGTCAGTCATGTATCAGACTTATTTCTAAACATATTACCCTTTTCAGTATACTTGATCAATTACATAACCCCCACCCCAACCCCGACCTCTTCACCTTGTAAATCCTATGATTTTCTCTTATATTTTCCTGAAATTTTTTTCCAGATCAGTGAATATAGCCTGATTGAATGAAATAATCTTCAATTGTTATTGTCCAAACTTGTTATGCTTGACTGCGGTGTGCCTTATTACCCCCTCACCCCAACAAAATGTCAAATTTACCCACAGGTTAAAAACACCTGTGATACATGTTATACACATTGTGGCAGACTTGATCAAATTAGGATGTCAAGAAAGATGTCCATTTTCTGCCTCATTACCAACTCCTACCACAGTCAAGCTGGGTAAAATTTGACAGACAATAAGGAAAGGCCCAGATCAAACATAACCCACCACTAACCCTCTTGTAACATCCCCTATGACAATATAACTGCAGTTCAGACACTTACAGCAATTTCAGAAAAGACTTTTCTTGTCAGCCAGCTGTCACTGTTTTCAAGAGCTCGGAAATTTAGTAAATCTGCTCCTTCAAGACCATCTTCTGTATCAGCCAATTTTCTGATCTGGGAATCAACGTTTGATTTTAAACGTAAACTTGTTACTTGTAATGGTGCTGAAATTAACAATCAAACATAAACATTATTAGTAAATCAATGCAATGCTTCCTGATTCATAGCTTGTGTTCCAGTGGTTGACATTTTCATCTACCCAAAGGCAAACTAAAACTCTCAGCACCAGTAGTATTCTGAAGTGAACATTCCAATTCATATCCAAATTATTGCCAAAATTCAATTCAGAGAATAGTGTGGTCAGAGAGAAGAATTAAAAACTTGTAAAGAGGGAAACCACTAGTGAGGAACTTGTAAAGGGGTCGGGACCACTACATACCCAACAGTAAAGTGGTGAATTAATAACTAGTCATTGGCACCAAAGATAGTTATAAATGTCAAAGGAAACAGGTTAACGGTTTTGTTGTTTTGGGTTGCAGACATGCTATAGGCATATTTCATATATTACTTTATGATTCAATCCTTCATAAACTTATTAACAATGCTAATGAACTGCAATATATAAGCATGGATTTGCAGTAATTTTACAGTTACACTTTGTTGACAATTTTGTGGAGCTACAACTTGAACGATTAGGGATTAGGCCTGAAATTTCTGAGATTTGGTGATATTGGAAAATGTTTTACCAGGTTGAAAAACCATTCGACGAGTAGAATTTGCCACAATAGCGCCAGCTCTCCTTGCAAGGCCAAACATTTCGAAGTTTCCACTTAAATTTTGTAGTGACCTTCCTTTCTCTTTCCCCGTGAAAAGAATCCTATAATGCACTGGAGTTGAATGTAAAACAGTATTTGGATTTTTAATTTTAAAAACTATTTTTATATTTTTTCAGTCGAACGAAGTGTTAGTGTATGGTTTGGAATTATGCAAAATGATACTATATAGTTCGATTGAGTTAATTTGAAACTATTTTGATCACAGAAGACATTTATCGATTTCTTCAATTTTAGTCCGAATCTAAAGTTTACAAAAACAATTTTTTTAAGTGTTTCCGGTTGTCCGCCATTATTCCGGTGATGTGTAAACAATCACGTAAATTTTATTTATGAAGTTTTCTCAATTATGATGAGTTGAATTTTAAATTCGTTTTCAAACCGTGAAATATGATTGAGTTCTGTACCAAGCGACGGATGGTAGGAACGATTCTGCTTTTAACAAGGTGGGTAGTTACTAGTTAGTTGTTCTGTACTCAATCCCAATTGAACTGAAGAAATTTAAAAGGCTGTTACAAACTTACAGTGTTAACCTTGCTAGCTAATGCTAAACTGATCCCCCAGTCCATAAGCGAACACAACAGAGTACCAGTTTATCATTCTTGCATGACCTTTTGAGTCATTAGACTTGTCCAAAATACAGCTTGGCTTCATGAAGTTGGATTTTTTGTTTGTTTTTTTGTGCTTTCTATGCTTCTTTAGAATTAATTTGAAGTGAGTTTCAGATACTGGCAATAGATTCAACAGTTTATCAAAAAATGAATTCCAGTTTGCATAATTTGCTCATTGAAGGAAGTAATAGTGGAAATGTTAATATTCTGCACCATATTTTAAATTGATCTGAATAATGATTTTCTTTGCTTGCAGTGTGTCAGTTATGATGTTATTTTTTGAAAACAGATGGTCAAGTCAGCATAAGCTGAAAAAAGCCAAATTAGCAGCAAAAGGTAATGAAAGAATATGTTTTTAATGGATATTGTCATTTATAGACAAAACATCTTAAAAATATATACTATTCACCTATTCAAGAAAGTTATCAAAATGTTCACAATCAGTTTTAATGATATCATTACATCAACAGACACTTTAGAGTATGGGATTGTTTATGAAGTTAAGGCTGCATATTCTCGAAACAATCTCAGTATTAGGGTGTCTTAGGGTCTAAACTACTAACAAGTTTTGTAGGATATCCTAACGCTAAGATCATTTCGAGAATACATGGCCTGAAGGTTAACAGATTACAAGGCTACGCTGCTATTGCAAATATTTGACACAAATCCTAATATTCAGGAATTAAAGAAATTCAGGAAAGCAGAATATACTTGCCAACATATTCTATTCCAGTATCTCCTATAAACAAGAAAAAAAAACAGTACTCTTTAGATACCCTTGAAATTCTATGATATTTTTTTCAGCCTTAACAAATGCAAGTTGCAATCCTGGAACAGTAACAGTTATAGAACCTTGTAAAATCTGTCCTAGAGATGAAAATGTAAGTTTTATTTAAATTTATGCTGCAATAGTTATTAAATTATGATAGAAAAGGATCTGAAATTGTATGGAAGTTGATGTTCCTCTTTCAACTTCATTTCATTGTTAAGAGGAAGGGAACAAAACTTTTGCTTCATGTTGGCAGTTTTGATACCTGGTTTAAACTCAGTCATCAGCTTTTTGAGACTGGACTATTTTGTCTACTTTTTAAAAAGAAATGGTGTATCCAGTCCCTCTCCTAGCAAGTTGCTTCCAATATGTAAATGAAATTTGGTCGCCAGTAAAATACATGATTTCTCACAGTAATTGAGGGCTGGGCAATATTGAGTCTGGTGGATATCGATTGTGATATTTCTCATTAATCACAATACAGGTATATGACCGAGCCCTACAGTAATTTTTGTTGTAAGAGTTTTTGAGAAATGTACCCAGCATCTTCACAATATCAATGTATTGCAAACTTTGGAACTACGCAAGTTCCTAAAGATCATCTTATTTTTCTGTAACTGATGTGAGATTTGAAAAGTATAGTTAATTATTTATTTATGTAGATGACAAACATACAGGACGATGTATAAAAACCCCGGGTAACATTACAACACAAACATATAGATGAATAAGATGATGATGTTTACATGGCAGCAGCCACGCTACCAAGTGAAGTTCCTGCTCGATCTCTTGGCCCAGTATCTTTTCCGTTTCTGGTTATTCATGCACAATACACCATATATATTGTATGTCAACAAGTTTGTGTTTATATTTGTAGAGAAAAGAATTATCATTCTGTAAACAAACAGGTTATAAAGAATTTGTCCAATGTAGTAATGGAAAACAAATATTCAGAGGGTAAGTTAAATTTGTAATACTACTTCTACTGGACCAACTTGATTTACCAAATGATTGCCCCACTATATTTGAAACTAAACTGGCCATTTTATCACAAATAAGGATATTTAAAAGCTAAAACGAAGCAATATAAGACGTAGCAAAGAGTTTTATAAGTAACTATGAAGCTAAATGTAAATGAGTCAGCAATTGTTAGTTAGAAATGCCGCTATATTGTAAGGGGAGATAACATATATTATTATGTTATTGTAATCTGATAGTAGGTTAGTTATGAATTCTCTTGGGGGAGCTGCATCATTTCGGGCTAAATATTTCTGGAATTGCAGAAACCACAGGCATCGGACAAAGAATTGTCCCAAATAGAAGTCAAAGGTGTCTACGGTACAGATTAAAAGGCTAAAAAACCCTTTGCAATCCCTTTAATTTGATTGGTGGAAGATTTAATTTTCAACCAATCAGATTCAATGCCTTATCTTAGGGAAAAATACAGAATGAATACAGAACACTATGACAAAAAACTAGTTTCATTTCATTAATCCAATAACAAGTACAGGACATAAAACATACTGAAAAATATATTCTTTCTCTTCCTTTTCAGTTGTGATATAGTTCCTGCAGTGGAACAAAAGACATTTTATATATTTGAAAGTATTTGTACGGTGATAGCAGTAATATCCTATACAGTTGTACGACATCGGCGAAAACATCTCGATAGACTTGTAGCTGATAAAATAAATAAACAGATAGCTTCAGGATTATGATGTAAAGTGTGTCGGTTACCTGTGGTTTATTAATGGCTTTGTGTAAATAAAACTATGTATTGTTCTCTCATGGAAATAACAAACTTGAGCATAGTTCACAGCCATTTTGAATCTCTTTCTCGTCTTAATAATTAGAATTTGCAAAATATTTCAACAAAATCTTAAAATAATATTTAAAGCCATATTTAAAGCTTAAAATGCAAGGCTTAGTTGAAATATAATAACCTTATAACAAAAATAATCTGATTATGACACGTGTAAATTTTGTTGAAACGTTATGTGCTTTGTTATTAAAGAAGTGAGTTATACCATAATATACCCCTTGTGTTTTTTGTTATATCTACTCTCTACTTCTAAATGTCATTCAAATCTTAAACCTTAACCTTTATCTAAATTTGACTTATTAAGTCGAGGAAGGGATTCAAAATGGCTGTGAACTACGTTCGTTCGTGTGTTATTTTCATGTAAGAACCATATATAGTGTTTTATATGCAGCTTGGTTATATACTGGTTGATAAATAATTTCACCTCATCTTAAAAATATATTGTCATATTGTGGATTATTATCAGGATATACCATCAAATTTTTGTCCAGATAAGAACATTTACACAATTTCAACAAATAACTTTGTTGTTGTTTTGACTAATGAGACATTAGTCTCAGAAACGGAAAGCTTTTAGCCAAGTCAGTAAGTAATAGTGTTCACAACTCACCATCGAAATGTGAGTCTATAAATCCATGTGTGTCCAGAATTATCTGCGTTTGAAAGATAAAAAGACGATGTAAAGATATAGGAAAAGAAATTCCTAGATTGAGTGAGATATTTTTGAAGGAATTGTGTAATTTTTTGTACATTTCTAGTACTTCTGAAGACTATTTAGATATATTCAAGACTCAAATCAAAATGGCACAACTGTCCCTTTAACAGTTGAGACACTTGAGGTATTTGGAAGGAATTATGTGGTTTTCTAAACTGGTCTCTATTTGACATGGAAATTTGGATGGAGTTTTAGTCTTTACTGTTCTGGAATGATATAAGCTTACTAATGCTATAGGAATACCACTGTGTTAAAACACAAGATGTTATTGTCTCTTAAAGTGAAACTAGAATTATTGAAATGTGGATATTAAGAATATTTTTAGCAACGTAATGGTATAGCATGGTAGGCTTACATTATTGATTTTTCGTCTGTGAAGCATTTAATTGAAAAATTACTTTTTACTTTGTTTATACAATAGAATGAAAGTAGGCGTTGTTTTAATCCTTGCAGTGGCGGAGCCAGGTTTACGTCTGAGGGGGGGGGGGGGGAAATATCTGAAATTGCTCAAATTTCTAATATAGTTGTGAGATGTTTGCCCAAAAAACTTGCTTTCGGGGCTGCGAGGGGGGGCGGCTGCCCCCTCTTTGGCTCCGCTAACTGAATCCTTGCTGTAGTATTGATGATGGTCCAAGTGTCTGTCTCGATGTGGTATATACGTGGCAGTAGTCGGGGTTCACCGGTCGCCAAGAGAGACGTTAGTGATAGTAAGCTCGCTTTACGTAAGGATCATCTTGATAATACCCACAACCTGTAAAAACACAGTTCCTCATCTGACCACAAGACGTATTTTCTTTTTGGATAGTCAGCTCAATTGGCCTAAATCGACAATTTTCATACAAGAGAGGTGCGTGAGTTTATATGTACAAAACAAAGCGTTTTTTGAGTAGCATGTTGATTGTCGGTTTGACATAATATGTGTGATATCTTCGCGGTTATTGGTAGGGCTTGAATATAGATACATATATACTGAGTTATCTTTCCTTATATTCCAGTGAAAAAAAAATCCAGGTGGAAGGATAAGAGGATGAAAACTTATCACCATGAATAAAAATGTTGAAAAATATCAATGTTTTAATCTCAGCTTGTTCACAATGAACTAGCAAATACAGTAAGAACCTGATGACTATTGGTGTTGACATAGTTTAGACTGAAACACCTGCCTCTATTTCAGCCAAAATAGATTGTAGCGGCCAAAATAGATGCAGATGTTTCAGTTGAGCTGTGTATCTTTAGAATTTTCCACCAACTAAAGAGAGAACCCAGTAAGGAACTTTGATGAAGCTGGGTGTTATCTGGGCCAGTCTTTCATATCCTATAGATCGGAACCAGAGATTAAACTGGCGGAATGAATCTATTGTTCGACCTGAAACATACAACCCAGAACATTTTAAAAACAACTTGCTATTAGGAATAACTATAGGGAATCTATACTAATATTATAGGATTTGAAAAGAGGTTTTCTAAATTTGAATGAATATAGAGACAATAATAGCACTGATTTATTCCAATTTTCAGTCAGACGTCTGTGGTTCTTGCAATTCCACTAAAACTAAGCGTTTTATATTATTTTTTTTGTCATATTTTGCAAGGGAAATGGTGTCAATTAGATCAATCTTGTATATGTAAATGAGCGCTACAGGTTTGAATCCTACCTACCATCAATATCTGTAAAACTGTACTCAAGACCTAAATCAGGGGTCATAACAACACGACCTGTCTTCTTCATAATATCAGGGTCTTAAATTGAACAAAATTAGTCAGTCAATCACCAAAAACAAGTTCTAACATCAAATAGAAATAAAGATTTTTACATCCTACAAACCAATCAAAAACTTTAATCTCTAGTGTGTTTACTGTGAGCTGTGGTGGCACAGCGAATTAAGACACTTGCTCGCTAACTTTAAGGTCTAGGGTTCAATCCTGGCATAGGTCGAAGTCCACCTGTTTCTCCCTGTCAGGTTAGAGGGGACAATAAACCAAGGCCCTGTGTGCAACAGTTGGAAATCGGAAAAAGAGCAGGCTAATGCTGCTGTCCTGACAAAATTCCACTCATTGCACATGGCCGTCTTCATTAACCCACATGGTGCAGAAAAGTAGGACGTAAAAGTCCATTCATTTCATTTCATAACATTTTCTAGTGTGTATACTAACAATTTACAACCTTCTGGGCTACAACAATATACATCCAAATTGAAATGTTGCTTTATAATATTAACTATTCATTCCTCCAACATTGAGTGTGGCTAAAAACACTTCAGATTTCAAACAAAGAAAGGTCTTTAAACGTATCTTTCAACTGACCGTTTGCTAAATAAACAACACATTTTCCTGCGAATTCTGGAGTTTCACCATTTTCAAACACTCTGGCTAGCTGCATCTAAAAATAAAATTAATTAACATGATTTTGCCATGAACCACCAAACTTTAGTGGAATTACAAAACTCACAAACGTTTGACTGAAATCTGAAATGTTGCAAATAAATGCTATGATTGTCCATCATACACATAAAAACTCAGAGAAGCTCTAGTTGAGAAAGTAATTTATGTATGTTTGTGACACGATCAACAGTGTTTACACACCAATAATGCTAGTGAGACCAACGTTTAATTCTTATAGTTATATTCAGATATTTTTATTAACACAATTTTCACATTTTTATATCATCCGTTCCTTGAATTTGCCACAAATCTTAGATTGCGTCATTGTTGTACTCTGACAACGTCATTGTGTCAATTGACAAACTACAGTTTATGGAAAAATAAATGCCAGTTTGCGTAATTGGTTCATTGAAGGAAGTGATAGTGGAAATGTAACTATATACATGTACTCTATAACTTTAACCCTGTGCCAGTGCCTTATATTGAATAGTAACTTGTTACTCTTCAATCACCCTAATCTCTTTTGCCTCTGCCTGTGCTTTCGTAACATTGCTTAACTGCAATGTTACAACCTAAAATTCCTAATCTCTACTAGTTATTGAAACAAACTTACATGTTTTTCCCGTTTATTTGTTTTCATGATTTGTGTAATCAGTTCTGTTTGAACGGCACCCGGCCATAGACTGATATAAGCTACATTAAATTTCTTTAATTCTTCTCCGCAATCAGCAGCCATTCGATCTACCTGTTCAATTATATATAGTTCAGTACATTAGTTTATTATTTATTTGGAAGAGCCAAATCTTCCATTCCCCCAAATCTTGTGCCACATCCCCTTGTATCTTCAGACAACTGACCTATTTCAGTCTGTGTCCCTACTGAAGTTTGACAAGTAGAGATCTTCAGACAACTGACCTATTTCAGCCTGCATCCCTACTGAAGTTGGACAAGTATACTGTATCCCTTCTAAATTTAACAGAAAAGTAAAAAAATACTCACAGCAGCTTTTCCCACACCATACGGAACATTGAATAAATATTTTAATCCCCCAGCAGAGGAGATGTTTACAATTAACCCTTTCTTTCTCTCTGTCATCATTCTCGAGGCATAGACAGAACACACATAGTGGTTCCTAAAATACCACAATATTGAAATTGTAAAGAGGCTTTTTATGTGTATAAGGGCCATTGATGTTTTCTATTTGCATCATTCAATTTTCCCTCAGATGTCTGTGGTTCCTGTAATTATGGAAATGCACAACTATTTTTGGTATAAGTCGTTTAACGACACAACATTTTGGATTTTTCGAATATGCTGTATGCTCTCAGAAATAGTACTTATCTCCCTTACTTATTTCATGAGTAATCCCTTTTTTCCAAAAAACATATTAATTTGTAGACTAACCTCAATCCAACATTATTGGAGATATCCCACATGTCAGGTTCTAACTCCCAAAATTTCTTCCCCAGATTGTCAAATATTGCCTGTAATAGCAAAGATAGATTCCAATATGACAGAATGTTTCTGAGGGTATTAAACTAACTTGATAGTTTTGTATAAATATCTTTGTTGAAGTCAAGTAGATGTTTTTATTTCATCTGAAGACAAAATAATTTGAGGAAGTGGGTAGGGCTAGGGCTAAATTCAAGAATTGAAAACAGAGGTCTTAAAATTTGTCAAATTCCTTGTGGATTCTCCCAAAGTCAGTCTGCGAGAGTCCTCTGAATGCTGTACTTAAAATTTGAATAC